GATAACAAACCTCAGAAAAGTAATTTGAGTGATAGAGACTATCTAAAATTTACACTTCAAGTCATACCAAATGGTAAAATGTTTTGTTTTCCTTTAGATTCTGGGAAAAAGGCAAGGATGTCTACACATCCTATTTCTGGAGGTCCTAGTCAGTGCAATAAAGCAAGAAAAAAGTGGTATAAAGATTATAAAGAATGATGTAAAACTGACTTTACCACAGATGACATACTGTGTACACAGAATGACAAAAAGAATGAACAATTATAAATAAGTGAATTTAGCAAGGTCACTGGATATAAGATCAACTTTAAAAATCTATTCCATATGAAATTAAAGTAATAGCATTTATAGCATCAACAAAATCAAATACATAGTACTAATCTAACAAAACTTCTACAATTGAAAAAATACAGTAATTTCTATAATTGAAAAAATTGCAAAACATTGCAAAAATATAAAAATTGGTGAAATTTTGAGGTCAGTTCCGGAGGCGGGTGGATCACTTGAAGTCAGGAGTTCAAGACCAGCCTAGCCAACATGGGGAAATCCCATCTCTACTAAAAAAAAAATACAAAAAATTAGCCAGGCGTGGTGGCAGGCACCTGTAATCCCAGCTACTCAGGAGTCTGAGGTTGCAGTGAGCCGAGATTGTGCCACTGCACTCCAGCCTGGGTGACAAAGTAAGGCTCCATCTCAAAAAAACAAAACCAAAAACAAAAAACAAAACCCCCAAATGTTTAAAGTATCTATATAAATGAAATGTTTTGGAATACTCATAAATCTCTCAGTATTAATGTTCATACATTCATTTTTCCAGAATTAATCTATGTATCTGATGTAATGCCAACAAAATCCTAGCTTTTTGGTATGGGGTAATTGAAAAAAAAATCATTCAACAATGTATATGAAAATGCCAAGGACCTAAAATAGTGACAATTTTGAACAAGAACAAAATTAGAAAACATACCGTTGACCCGTGAGCACAGGTTTTAACTGTGTGGGATCACTTATACATGGGTTTACTTCTACCTCTGCCACCTGAGACAGCAAGACCATCCCCTCCTCTTCTTCCTCCACCTTAGCCTGCTCAACGTGAAGACGATGAGGATAAAGATCTTCATGATGATCCACTTCTACCTAATGAATAGTAAATATTATTTTCTCTTCCTTATGATTTTCTTAATCATATTTTTTCTCTAGCTTATGTAAGAATACAGTACATAATACATATACAAAATATGTTAATTGACTGTTTATGTTATTGGTAAGGCTCCTAGTCAAATGTAGGTTATTAGTAGTTAAGTTTTTGAGGTCAAAAGTTGTACAATGATACTTGATTGTGTGAGGGCTCAGTTCCCCTAATCCCCGAATTGTTCAAAGGTCAACTGTACTATCAGTTTTCATTTAAAATACTTGGTATTATTACAACAATAAACGCACAGAACAATGAAACAGAGTATAGTCCAAAAGACCCTAACATGCATGATCATCGGATTTATCATAAATGTTTAACTGCAAAACAAGGGAAAGAGGGAAAGATGGCCTTTTCAATAAATGATGTGGAACAAATTGCTTATTTGTATGAAAAATATTTTGACCTCTACTCCATACCACACATAAATATTAATTTCAGATGGATCATACGCATTAAATAGTAGATATGTGGAAGAGAATGTAGAAAAACATCTTTATGACCTTGAGTTAGGAAAATATTTCTTAAACTGGGCAAAAAAGCACTAATCAAAAGAAAAGTTATTCTTTATCAAAATTTAGAACTTCTGTTCATCAAAGGACATCATTTGGAGAGTGAAAAGGTAAGCTGCAGATGAGATATTTGTAATACAGACATCTAAAAAACACCCGTCTCCAGAATATATAAAGAATCCTACAAATGAGCAAATATCAGTTCCCACTAAAAAATGGCAAAAGTCTTGAGGTACTTCTCAAAGAAGGTATTTAAAAAGCCAACGCATATCGAAAGGGCGGCTCAACAGCATTATCCACTGAGGAAATGCAAATTAAAGCTATAATGGAATAGCGGCATGCACAAGAGCCAGGCCCTGGGAGCTCACGGTGCCACTGAAACTGCTCTCGTCAGGTTGGTGTGGGTTATCCCCAGCCCCTTACCCAATGGATACTTTCCAGTTCTTTTGTCATTTGAACCTGCTGACCATGTTCCTCTTCTTGAAGCGATTTCCTCTAAGGCAGGAATGGGAGGAAGGGTTTAGATGTAGTGAGGATTTGGAGGCAGAATGGAGGGACCAACAGAGTTGCATTATGCCATGTCAACTCTGTGACAGCAGAGCTTCTTAAAGGTCTCTCAAACTTTTCACTCAGAAAGTGGCACATTAACTATCCTCAATGAGGACGGGTCTCTTAGTAATAGTTAATAGGTTTCACTATTAAACCTCAATCAAAAATGGTCATTTTAACCAGAATGTCAAACTGTTCATTCATGATGGAAGATAATTCACATCATTCATCCTTTACCTCCTTCCCAATGTTAAATACATATTTACCCTGGCATCGTGAAATAGGTATTTGATTTTCTTAGCCTCCCTGAAGTGTAACTCATCATGCCTTGCTCTTTTTGGATGTCAGGTCTTTGGTCTGTTAAGGGCTTTCTGGTATTAGGGACACAGCTTCTGGGTTCCCATTGTTACCCTAGGCCCCTCCTAGCAGAAGTATTTCATAGTGTTCCCAGAACTTCCAAGCCCTCATTTATAGACTTGGGAGTTATTGGCTATTCTCTCTCTCTACACTTCATCATGAAAAGTTCAGAGGCTTTACATAGCCTCTTCCATAAAGACACCTGCTGTTGCCATTATGACCTTTTCTTTGGTGACATGTTGAAAGTGGAACTTCTTTCTGAGGCTTGTGGTCTTCTGGTCTACAGCCTGGGCAGAAGTTCGAGATATTCTTGGACATATTTTTCATCTTTCTGGAATTTCTATCACCTCCTACAAAGGAAACCCAGTGGGTGGTAGGAATAAGGTGCTAAGTAACTTTTTTTGGAATTTAGGTAACATCAGAACCAACTTCCATGCTCTCAGATGCATGAGCACCTCTCCCCCTCATTGTACATCCGGCACTGAGGGTAGGTCCTGGCACATTGAAGGTGTCCAATAAATAAAATGCACAACAAAAAGATTTTTCCTTTTTATGTAAATATTACAGGTTCATTGCAAAGAAAAAAATTAACTTAAGAACACAGAAAAGAAAGTAAAAACAAAAAAATCTGATACTCCACTAAAACAGAAATAACCATCATAAATTTTTTGGAGACCATCCTTTCATTCATCTCTCTCAAAAGTTCACATAAATACATAATATTACATATATAGTTTCATACCATACATGCAGCATTTACATTTTTCTGTTTTTATAGTCTCCCCTCCCCTTATTGCTAATTCTCCTTTTCTCACTCCCCTCAAGGTAATCAATATTAACAGCCTGGTGTATATTCTTCCATACCTGTCTCCATGTGCATCTAACCACACACACATAAAAACAAAATAAATGGGTGTGATTATTTTAACAAAAATGATATATTGTATATATACATTTCTGTTATAAAGCAATTATTTATCAATACATTGTGGAAATACAGTGAAATCAGCTAGTATAGATATAGTTCATTTTTAAAATTACTCTCACACTGTTCCATAATAAGCATATGTCAGAATTTATCTAACCATTTCTCTATTAATAGGCATTCATTTGTTTGCAGTTGGGGCTTTGCCCCCCTCTACAAACAATACTTCAACAAACATGTTTGTTTATATTCTTATGCATTGATGCCGCTTTTATTTCTATGGGACAGATCCCAAAAGTGAGACTGCTGGGTCTAAGAGTATGTATGTTTTAAACTTTTCAATATATATTATTGGACTGCTGGTGGAAGTATGTTATATAACCTTTAGGTAATAGTACATGGTTTCCCAAATCCCAATAGCAAAAGATCTCTTAATTTCTGCCAAATCCATGAAGGGAAAGTTTCATCTCACTGAGCATTTCAATTTGCATTTCCCTGAGTAATTTTGAGGTTCGAAATCTTTTCATAGGATAATGATCACCTACAGTTGCTCTCCTATGAAGAACCATCCAGTCCAGAGGAATTAAAGACTTAAGTGTAAAAAATAAAATCATAAAAATCTTAAAAATAAATTTAGGATACTATGTATAACCTGGGATTAAGGAGATCTCTTTTAAGTAAAATGAGTAAATAAAAAATCTAAAAAGGAAATGATATAAATATTTTCCGATAAAAATCTTGTGCCATTACTATAAAGTATAAAGACAAATGCTAGATTAAGAAAAACATCTGCTACATAATGACAAAGGATTAATATCTAAAATATATAAAAAGCACCTCCAGGTTTATAAGACAGATAAATGAATAGAAATATAGGTGAATACATATATAGGCAATTAACCAATGATAATTTGTTAAATGAGTAATGTATGAAATCTGGATGAAGGCTTTCATTTGTTCATTATTTTCCTCTAGTGAGAGTTTCCTTATAACTTCTAAGATTTAATGTTATTAACTAGATGTACCATATGACCCAGCCATCCCATTACTGGGTATATACCCAAAGGATTATAAATTATGCTGCTATAAGGACACATGCACACGTATGTTTATTGCAGCACTATTCACAATAGCAAAGACTTGGAATCAACCCAAATGTCCATCAGTGACAGATTGGATTAAGAAAATGTGGCACATATACACCATGGAATACTATGCAGCCATAAAAAAGGATGAGTTTGTGTCCTTTGTAGGGACATGGATGCAGCTGGAAACCATCATTCTTAGCAAACTATCACAAGAACAGAAAACCAAACACCGCATGTTCTCACTCATAGGTGGGAACTGAACAATGAGATCACTTGGACTCGGGAAGGGGAACATCACACACCAGGGCCTATCATGGGGAGGGGGGAGGGGGGAGGGATTGCATTGGGAGTTATACCTGATGTAAATGACGAGTTGATGGGTGCAGCACACCAACATGGCACAAGTATACATATGTAGCAAACCTGCACATTGTGCACATGTACCCTACAATTTGAAGTTTAATAATAATAAATAAATTTTAAAAAAAAATGATTTCCCACATAATTGCTTATAGTTTCTCTATATACTTTCTGATGAATTCCTAATGAAGATTTTCCTATATTCATAAAATACAGTTTATAAGATTCATCTTGTGGAGTTGACATCTAGGTGAATGACTTATTGTTCTTTATATTAATTTACTTTCTCTCTGATGTATTCTTTGATGTAGAGTAAGGCCTGAACTACTCCTGAAGGCTTTTCCACATTCATTACATTTATAGGGTTTTTCTCCAGTATGCATCCTCAAGTGTACAGTAAAGTCTGAGTTAGTTCTGAAGGCTTTTCCACATTCTTCACATTTATAGGGCCTCTCCCCAGTATGAATTCTCTGATGTAGGGTTAGCGCAAGGAATTCTCTGATGGAAGGTCAGATAGAGTAATACAACCCTTTCCACATTCCCTTACAGGTGTAGGTTTTTCAGTGTGTGTTCTCCAATGCACTGTAAGGTAAGAACCTCCTGAATAGCTTCCAGACATCACACTTGCAGGCTTCTCTCCACTGTGGATTTTCTGATGTTCTGCACATAAAGATTCACAATGCTTTCCTACAGTCATTACATTTAAATGGTTTCTCTCTCCAGCATGTTCTTGATGCGCTAAAGCCTGGGAGTTACTTGTAGAAACCCTCTGCTATCCATTATCATAGGCTTCTCTCCAGTATGTTTCGCTGTGCACAGTAAGCTGTGATGTATTATGAAGGCCTTCTGCCATCTAATAAGAATGAGAAGGTTTTTCCCCAGCATGGGTCTTCCTCTGATGTACAATAAGGTATGATTTAGTCCTAAAGGACTTCCCACACCTACACATTTATGGCTCACTCCAGTATGAATTCTTCTGGATGCTCCTTGAGATGTGCCCATTTTATAATGCCTCGTAGTCAGCACATTTATATGGTTTCCTTCCAGTGTGAATTCTCTGATGTACAGTTAAGTGTGATTTTATCCTTGGAAAGACTCTCACATCTACTGGGTATGTAAGTTGTTTCTTCAGTGGTTGAATACGCTGATGTATAATTAGCTTAAGAAGGACGAAGGAATGCCTTTCCACATTCATTACATTTATAAGGTTTCTTCTGTATGCATTCCAGGTACAGTAAGGCATGAATAATTAATGAATGCTTTCCCACATTCATTACATTTATAGGGTTTTTCTCCTGTGTGAATTCGCTGATGTTCTGTGAATGGTAATGTGTTGAATGCTTTCCCACATTCATTATACGAGTATGGTTTTTCCCAGTATGGGTCCTCTGATGTACAATAAGGCATGATTTAGTCCTAAAGGACTTTCCACAGTCATAACACTTATAGGGTTTCACTCCAGTATGAATTTTCTGATGTTCCTTGAGATGTACCATTTTGCAAGCCTCTCAGTCAGTACATTTAGGAGTATGGTTTCTCTCCAGGAATTCTCTGATACAGTTAAGTGTGATTTTATTCTGAAAGACTTCTAAGCATTCATTGCACAGGTAAGGTTTCTCTTCAGTATGAATGATACTTTGATGTATAATTAGAGAAGAAGAACGATGAAGGCCTTCCACATTCATTACATTTATATACTTTCCTGTATGCATTCTGTGGTGCATGTAAGGCATGAATAATTAATGAATGCTTTCCTACATTCATTATATTTATAGGGTTTTTTTCTCCTGTGTGAATTCGCTGATGTTCTAAATTTGCAATGCTGTTGAATGCTTCCCACATTCATTACATTCATAGGGTTTTTCCTCTTATGTGAGTTCTTATATGTACGACAAGGCTTGAATTACTTGTATAGGCTTTCCACATTCATTACATTTATAGGTTTTTCTCCAGTATGCATCCTCATGTACAGTAAAGTCTGGAGTTAGTTCTGAAGGCTTTCCACATTCTTCACATTTATAGGCATCTCCCGGTATGAATTCTCTGATGTAGGGTTAGCTGTGATAGAGTAATACAACCCTTTCCACATTCCTTACAGGTGTAGGGTTTTTCTCCAGTGTGTGTTCTCCAATGCACCAAAGGTAAGAACCTCCTGAAGGCTTCTTCACAGACATCACACTTATAGGGCTTCTCTCCACTATGGATTTTCTGATGTTCTGTGACATGTGCCATCTGGCTAAATGCTTTCCCACAGTCATTACATTTAAATGGTTTCTCTCCAGTATGTGTTCTTTGATGTGTATTAAAGCCTGAGTTACTTGTGAAAACCTTCCACATTCATTATATTTATAGGGCTTCTCTCCATGCGCCATGGTGCACAGTAAGCTGTGATGTATTATGAAGGCTTTCCTCACATTCATTACATTTATATGGTTTTTCCCAGTATGGGTTCTCCCTCTGATGTACAATAAGGGTATGATTTAGTCCTAAAGGACTTCACAGTCATAACATTTATAGGGTTTCACTTCAGTATGAATTCTTTCTGATGCTCCTTGAGATGTACCATTTTGGGTGGAAGGCTCCTCTCGTAGTCAGTACATTTATATGGTTTCTCTCCAGTGTGAATTCTCTGATGTACAGTTATGATTTATTCTTGAAAGACTCCTCACATTCATTGCACAGGTAAGGTTTCTTCAGTATGAATACGCTGATGTATAATTAGCTTAAGAAGAACGGAGAATGCCTTCCACATTCAGCTTACATTTTATAATGTTTCCTCTCTGTATGCATTCTGGGTGCACAGTAAGGCATGAATAATTAATGAATGCTTTCCAAGCATTCATTAGCATTTATATATGGGTTTTTCTCCTGTGTGGAATTCGCTTGATGTTCTGTGAAATTTGCAATGTGTTGAATGCTTTCCCACATCTAATACATTCAGGGTTTTTCCAAAGGTCTGAGGCTGTACGATAAGGCTTGAATTACTCTATAGGCTTTTCTGGCATCTATTATCTAAAAGGTTTTTCTAGATGGGACTCCTTGATGCACATTAAAATTAAAGTTCTTAAAAGACTCCACACCTACTGCACTGACACGGCTCTTTCAGTGGGTCTTCTGATGTACACTCAAGATATGACTTGTTCCTAAAGGCTTCACAGTCATCACATTTGCAGGGTTTCTACCATTGTGAGTTTCCTGATGTCTTGCAAGTTTTTGATTGATTACTGCGCTTTCGCATTTGGCTACATTTATAGGGTTTCTCCAGTCTGAATTCTGGAGTTGATTAAGACAGGCACACTGGCTAAAAAGATTTCCCACACACATTACACTGATAAGGTTTCTCTTTAGTGTGAATTCTCTGATAAAACAGCAGTGATAAGGAAGCAAATAAGGTCTTTCCACATTCATTACATTTACAGGTTTTCTCCAGTGTGGATTTTTTTGTGCTGACTGAGACATGAAGGCTGGCTGAATGCTCTTCCCCACATTCAGCTATCTTATATAAGGTTTTTTTTCTTAGTATGAGTTTTGATGTTGAATGAGCAATGACCTATAACGTAAAGGCCTTTCGTATGTAACACATTTGCAGGGTTTTTCCTTATTGGCTGGATTTTTTTCCCAAAGTAAGTTCTAAGTCTGGCCTTATGGCTTTGCTGCCTTTCATCCTTACAAATTATCTTCAAACGGTATCTATAACTAAATTCTAAATTTCATAGCTTCCTCTGTGTTTGGCATCCATGAAGCTCTTCGGCAAATGCCTGCTCGAATAAAAATAGATTCAAATCTGTAAGCCTTCTTTGACTAGTGAGCCCTTGAGGGAATTATTCTTTGACTCAAATGATTCTCCTGATTATTTTGTAATCTCAATATCCTATCATTCCATTTCCATAACCCTTCCACTCTGAATCCTACAGACCATTCTCCGTAAGTTTTCTAGTACGGCATCCTGTGATAAATCTTCTGATATATCCTTTGTTCGTAGCATTCTTGTTGCAGGTTTGGCCCATGTCTGGAATAAAAGAGATAAATCAAGTAATTTCTTTCTGGAGCCTGGAGTAATCTTACTCAAACAGAAATAATAAAAATAATAAAACACATGATAATGAATATATAATGAATTGTTTACACTGACTTGTTTTCTAGCTTAGAAGAAGGTAGGGTTAAGGGAGGCTGGTTTGCAAAAACTAAAGTAGAAAATTCACTGAAACTTCCTGTTAAAAAGTCCATCTAGCTGGGCACAGGTCATGCCTATAATCTCAGCACTTTGGGAGGCTAAGGTGAGAGAATTGCTTGAGCTCAGGAGTTCGAGACCAGTCTAGGCAATATAGCAAAACACTGTCTCTACAAAAATACAAAAAATTAGCCCAGGCATGATGGTGTACCTAGTCCCAGTTACTTGTGACGCTGAGGTGAGGACTGCTTGATTCCAGGAGGTGGAGGTTGCAGTGAGCCAAGATTGTGTCACCACAGTCTACTCCTGGGTGACAGAGCAAGACTGTCTCAAAAAAAAAAAAAAAAAAAAGTGTTGCAGGAAGTCAGGACTCTAATGGAGGGACTGACTGAAGCCCTGGGCAGAATGTGAAAGACGCTATGACATTTATCACTTCTCCAACCAATACTTTTGTGATTTCCTATACCTGTCTCTTAACTTCTTTAATCCTACCCATCTTCGTAAGCTGAGGATGAATGTTGCCTCAGGACCTTGTGATGATTGTGTTAACTGCACAAATTGTTTACAGAGCATGTGTGTTTGAACAATACTCAAATCTGACACCTTAAGAACAGGATAACAGCGACTCCCCAAGGAACAGGAGATAACCTTAAAGTCTGGCTGCCCAGAAGCAAGTAGACAGAGCCATATTTCTTATTACTGAAAAAACAGGTAAGAGAAGTATTTGAATGAATTCTTTCCCCAGTAAGGAAGGCTAATAATAACAGCCCTGGGAAAAGAATACATTCCAGGGAAGGCCTCTGAAATGGCCTCCCTGGGAGCAAGTTCAAGGCCTTATGCAGATGTAGATAGGGATGAAACATGCCCTAGTCTCCTGCAGCACCCCCGGCTTGCTAGGATGAAGAAATCTAGCCTGGCAAATCTCTAGTCAGACCGGTTCTCACTTCCTTGAACTCCTGTCAAAATGTTTATCAATGACAATGTGTACACAGCGGGACACAGAAGTTCATTAGTGATTCTAGTTTTGCCCTGACCTTGTGATCTCACCCTGACTTCCTGCCTTGTGATCTTTGTTGCCCTTGGGCAGCGGATTCCTGTGACTCCACACCCTATTCGTACACCTCTCCTTTGGAAAATCACTAATAAAAACTTGCTCATTTTGCAGCTTAGGGGTATCACGGAACTCATGACATGTGATGTCTCCCCCCACACCCAGCTTTACAATTTCTCTCTCTTTTGTACTCTTTTCCCTTTATTTCTCAGACTGGCCGACACTCTAAAGAAATAGAAAAGAACCCACGTCAAATTATCGTGGGGGCAGGTTCCCCAATAAAAAGTCCATTTGTGGTTTAGGAGCCAACTATTTTAGATGGTATTCTCAACCCTTTTGACAAGCTCAAACACTGTCATACTCTTGCCATTTACATCTACAAACCAGACATTAGTACCCAACCATACTTTCTCATTTGTTCTTTTTTTTTTTTTTTTGAGACAGAGTCTCTGCTGTGACACCCAGGCTAGAGTGCAATGGTGCGATCTCGGCTCACTGCAACCTCTGCCTCCTGGGTTTAAGCAATTCTCCTGTCTCAGCCTCCTGAGTAGGTGGGACAACAAGCATGTGCCACCACGGCCAGCTAATTTTTGCATTTTAGTAAAGATGGGGTTTGCCAAAGTTGGCCAGGCTGGTCTTGAACTCCTGACCTTAGGTGATCCACCCACCTCTGCCCCCAAAGCCAAGTCAGACCGACATGCACTATTCAAATCATGCCTGGCCTCTATTTGTTCCTTTCATTCTTGATTGACTAGCTTTGTTGTGAGGGCTTCTTCAAATTCCCACTGGGCAGAAGAAGGAGTCTGGCCTTGAGACTCTTAAATAAATCTTTGTGGAAAAAACACTTTGATTTTCAAAAGAGCTAAACAACAAACTAATCAAAAGCACATTTATACTTACTATTTCTTACATAGTGATAATTACATATTTAATTAAGGGTGGACGAACAACTTTATGGCCTCTAAGAACTTTTCTGCCAGTTTGTCAAAAATTCATTACAAATTACAATTGTGATACTGGTCTTAACAATGTGTTTGTGTATGCAATTTAATATTTTATTTTTAAGACACTTTAATGCTTTTTAAAACTTCTTTTTTTTTTTTTTTTTTTTTTTTGAGAAGGAGTCTCAGCTTCTGCCGCCCAGGCTGGAGTGCAGTGGCCGGATCTCAGCTCACTGCAAGCTCCGCCTCCTGATTCACGGCTCTTCCTGCCTCAGCCTCCGAGTAGCTGGGACTACAGGCGCCACCTCACCGCGCCTCGGCTAATTTTGTATTTTTAGTAGAGACGGGTTTCACCGTGTTAGCCAGGATGGTCTTGATCTCCTGACCTTGTGATCCGCCTGCCTCGGCCTCCCAAAGTGCTGGGATTACAGGCCGGGAGCCACACCGCGCCCGCCTAATTCATTTTCAGGCACTATGCCTCAATGTTTAAACATAAGTTCAATAAAAACTCTTGTTGATGGTAGAATGGTTTTATGACTTTTTTTTTGTTTTGAGGCAGTGTCTCACTGTGTTGCCCAGGCTGGAATACAGTGGCACAACCTCCAAGCTCACCCACCCCACCTCCTGGGTTCAAGCGATTCCGTGCTTCAGCTTCCTGAAGTAGTTGGAATTAGTTATGCTATGCACCACCACACCCAGCTAATTTTTCTTATTTTTAGTAGAGAAAGTATTTTGTTATGCTGTCCAGGATGGTCTCCCAACTCCTGGCCTCAAGTGATCCACCTCCTCGGCCTCCAAAGTGCTGAAGCAGATGTGGTTTCACTGTGCCCAGCCAATTTGATGATTTAAAACCTGCATTTTAAACAGTATGATTTGTTCATACGTTATTTTACTCTTATAACATTTAAATTAATATTTTGTCATGTTGTTGCTATTTATCACTCTTACTTTAAATAGTTTCACTAGTTTGAGGTATACTTTAAGGTCGAGGATATTATATTGCCAATATCTGATAAAAGAAAACAAAACTTTTGCTGTCAGAAAAAAAGCTATAAGGCTGAGTGTGGTGGCTCATGCCTGTAATCCAGCACTTTGGGAGGCTGAGGCAGGAAGATTGCTTGAGCCTAGGAGTTTCAAGACCAGCTTTGGCAAATACAGTGACTCCCATCTCTACAAAAATTAAAAATGAGCTGGGCATG